CGTGGAATACAACCGCGCCTGGGCCCCATTTCAAAGTCGGGAATACCAATTTTCTATTCGATTCCGCCCATTTCAAATTTGTAGTGCCCCAGTGTAATCCGGTCTACACGTGATCAGGTCCAGGGTCCCCGCCAAAATTTTGAGATCACGTGACGGACCCCACTTTGAAAAAGCTGGCTAGCGGATTCCCCTGCCAAAAACGGGCGGTTTTGGAAAATCGGCGCTCCAAAAAGTGGGCCTGCACGTGATCTCCCGCCAATACAAATCCGGCTGAAATGCCAATACAAAGTCAGGTTGAATTGGCAATACAGACCGATTCAAAATGCTAATACAAGCCCCAGCTCAAATGCGAATACAACGGCGCACTTCAAACTGGCCCCTTCTTGGCCCAGGCAGGCAAGCGGGCAGGCAGGCAGGCAGGCAGGCGCCGGGCCAGGCCAGGCCAGACCAGACCGGGCCAGGCCAGACCAGGCCAGGCCCGAGGGGGCCAACCACGTCGACCTCGGCCGCTCCCCCACCCGCCGACTCTCCTACCTACCGCTGCAGGTCGTCCGACTGGCTAGCTAGCTAGAGAGAAGAGGAGCACACGACGAACGGCTACGGCCGCGTCAGTCGATCGAGCGGGTGGCAGCGTTCAGCAGCGAGGACGATGCGAGGGCAAACGAGGGGCGGACGACGGAGCCAGCTGCCACAACATGGCGTCCGCCTGGGTTGGGGGGCAAATGTGATTCGATCTCGTCTCGTCTCGTCTCGTCTCGTCTCGTCTCGTCTCGTCTCGTCTCGTCTCGTCTCGTCTCGTCTCGTCTCGTCTCGTCTCGTCTCGTCTCGTCTCGTCTCGTCTCGTCTCGTCTCGTCTCGTCTCGTCTCGTCTCGTCTCGTCTCGTCTCGTCTGTCTAGCGCTGCGGGTCCTCGAGCTGCGGATGTCGTCGCCATCGACCCAGACAAAGCCGACGCTCGACTCGACGGCGATTGCCGCCGCTTCACTCTTCTGCCACTTTTTGCGCTGCAGAGCCGAGTTGCGGCGGGGCGAGGAGGGAAGGGAGGGAAGCATTCAACCGCGGGTCAGCCATCGATCGCCGATCGCAGTCCTAGCCCACACACACAGATGCGCCCGCCCCGCGTCCGGCCGCCGAGGAGGAAGGGGAGAGGGGACGGCACTCACCGAGCGTGATCTTGTCGCCGAGGCTGAGGGCGATGCCCTGCGTCTTGCTGCGGATGCGCACGTGGCCGCGGATGCTGCCGTCGTCGAGCTGCTCGATCGAGAGGTTGGCCAGCGCGTCCTCGCCAAACAGGGAGCGCGCGTACATGTTGGCGCTGAGGAAGCCGCAGTCGCCCGCCAGCGACGCATCGGGCGTCAGGCACGACATGTTGGTCGACTTCATGATGTGCGCCAGGTACGTCTTGAGCGAGCTGTGCAGGGAGGCGGACGCCGAGAGGCAGGGCGGAAGGGGGGGGCCGCCCAGGGGTGAGCGGCAGGCGTCGAGAGAGGGCAAGCAGAGGGACAGGCATGGTCAGCGGCCAGTGGGGAGGCTTGCGAGCGCGATGGATCGCCGCCCGTCGCAGCGAGGAAAAGGACTCACCGGATGTTTGTGCTGACGTTGACCTTGTTCTCCCACTCAAACTCGGTCCACATGCTGCGGAACTGGGCCTCGTTGCAGTAGGCGGGCGAGATGTAGTCCATGATGTCGATGTGGATGTCGTTGAGGACGACGCACTTGCTGTCGCCGGCGCTGGCGGTGCCCGTGCCCGCCGCGCCCTCGTAGATGACGTTGCCGAAAATGACGCCCGTCTCGGTGCTGGAGACCTTGATGGTGGCCTTGATCGACTGGTAGCTGTAGGGGGCCAGCGTGTGCGTCGTGGGCCGCTCGACGAGCTTGAGGTCGCCGAGCGTGGCAAACTCGATCGACAGGTTCTGCAGCGTCTCGCCCGTCTGGTTGACGACGAGGACGTCGAGCAGGATGTCAAACTGGTGCACGTTGACGTAGGCCTCGGCGTAGACCGGGTCCGAGAAGCCCGTCAGCTGGACGACGCGCTGCAGCTTGCTGATAAAGTCGTCGCGCGCCGCCTCGGTGGCGCCCGTGGCCTGCGTCAGGTCGCGCTCAAACTCGTCGGCGGCCGCCGCCGCACCGCCGTCGCCGCCGGCGCCGGCAAACTGGCGGAAGCCGAGCAGGTCGTCGGGCTGCACCTGGACCACGTGCGTCTCGCGCGCCCGCTTCTCGTCGGCCTTTTTCTGGGCGTGCTCGACCATCTTGGCGTAGGCCTGCTTGGTGTCGCGCAGGAAGACGTCGGCCGCCTCGCGCCGCAGCTCGTCGGCCTCGGCGCCGGCCTCGGCGAGCGTCTGGACGCAGCTCATGATGCGCTCCTGCGAGTCCTCGTCGATGGGCGCGGCGGCAAACTGCGAGCCGCCGACGCGGACGATCGACGTCATGATGAGCATCGCCTCGGCGCGCAGCGCGTTGCAGCGCGACGCCGCGTCGGCCTCGGCGCCGGCCTGCGGCGACGTGAGCTCGGCGTAGCGGAGGACGAGCTTGACGAGCGTCGAGGCGAGCACGGTGCCCGTGTAAAAGTCGCCCAGCAGCAGCAGGCTGCGCAGCGGCGGCTTCGACGCGCTCTTGACCGCCTCGAGCCGCGCCTCGGACGTCGACGACGCCGAAAAGGCCGTCTCGGTGGCGTAGGTGCCGTCGGCGCGCACCCGCGTCGCCGCCGCCGCCGCCTTTGCCGTCGCCGTGGACGCCGCGTCCTGCAGTGCTGCTGCTGCTGCTGCTGCTGCTGCTGCTGCTGCGCCGCCGCCGCTGCCATCGCCCTCGGCGCCGGCCGAATGCTCGGCCAGCAACCGCTCCTCGGCGGCGAGGATGGGCACCTCGCCGACGACGTTGCGGATCTGTCGCATGGCCTCGTCGATGTCGTCGACGCTGGCGCAGTACTCGCCGACGATCCAGAGCGCGCCGCGGAAGACCTTGCCGCTCTTGATGTCGCCAAACGTGCGCAGCAGCTTGTCGAGGATGCTGGAGCGGAGGTCGGGGAACTTTTCCACCACCTCGCGCACAAAGGCGATGACGTCGACGGCGCTCGGGTTGCTCGAGTCGCCGAGGAACTCCATGAGGACGTGGACGACGTTGCTGGCCACCTCGGAAAACTTGATGGCGCACGCGTGGATGCTCTGGATGAGGAGCTGGCGGTACTCGTGGCCCTTGTCCTGCGCCTGGTGGGCGGCCGACGCGGCGTCGACAGTCTTGGTGAGCTCCTTTTTGAGCAGCAGCACCACCTCCTCGATGTTGCGGCTCGACACCATCTCGAGGGCGATGCGGAGCGCCTTGCGGCGCACGTCAATGTCCGGGCTCGAGAGGACGCGGAGGAGGTCCATGACGAGCGGGTCGATGACGTGCTCGTGGCGGGCGCGCAGCGCGTCGAGGCGGTCGAGGACGATGAGCTTGACGTTGTTGTCGCTCTCGCGGACGATGAGGTCGATGAGCGCCGACGCCGTCGCCTTGACGGCCGCCGCGTTCTGGGTGAGGGCGGTGAGGGTGACGGCGGCCTCGTACTTGACCGAGTGGCTGGCGGCGCCGAGCAGCTCCGAGACGGCGCGGAGGTAGCGCGAGCGGTGCGGGCTGTCGGCGCGGCAGTCCTTGCGGATGAGCTCGATGATGGCCAGCTGCATCAGCTCGTCCTGGGCCGTCACCTGGTCGCCGAGGCCGAGGAAGTAGTCGACGGCGCGCTCGCGGGCGACGTTGCACAGCAGCACGAAGGCGTTGCGCCGGCAGGTGGCGTCGTTTTCGGCGGCGAGAAACGTCTCGATGAGCTCGGGCGCGTCGACGATGAGCGCCTCATTCTGCTGGTAGATGGTGTAGACGCAGAAGACGGCGTTCTTGCGGACGTAGCTGTGGCGGTGCTCGAGGCACTGGCGGATGGTGGGGATCAGCGGCTCGAGCAGCTCGGGCTCCTTGACCTTTTGGAGCGAGCGGAGCGTCGAGCCGCGGATGTACTCGTTGGGGTGCTGGAGGTCGTTGCGGATGGCGTTGCAGACGAGGATCATCTCCTGCTTGAGGTTGCCCTTTTCGTCGAGCTTGGGGCACACCTCCCAGTAGAAGTGGAGCATCTTTTTGAGCTGCTTGTTGCGGCTCGGCATGACGTACTGGATGATGGGCATGAGGAGGTTGGGCTGCGGGCTGCCGTTGACGGTCGACACGATGATGCGGCGCAGCGTCTCGAGCTTGACCTCGTCGGAGCCCTTTTGCAGGTTGAGGCGCAGGTCCTGGGTCGAGAGCTCGATGCCATCGCTGCCAATGTCGGGCGCGATGACCGCGTAGGCGATGGCCTCGGACGACGACGACATGGTTGCGGTGGTGGAAGTGCGGCGGTGGTGGTGGTGCGGCGGTGGTGGTGGGGCGATGGTGGTGGAGCAGCTCAGCGCTGGGGCAGCGGCGAGGCCTTGGGATGCGGTTGGTAGGTGGGCCGCACGGGTGTACGGCAGCTGCGCCTGCGATCTGGCCTGGCTCCTGGTGCGATGATACGTCTATGAGGGCCGAGAGGAGGGAGTCGAGGGCAGACGAGGGCCGGCTGTCGGTGCTGCTGCGGCGGTGGCAGTAGTCGTCCCGTCGCTGCTCGGATCTGAGCTGGCGCTTCGTGCGGTGCGGCCGAGTCTGTGCTGGCGGCGGCACGAAGGAGGGCCGTGTCGTCCTTCCAAGGGAGGGGGCGTGTCTGGGCCTGGGGAAGAGAGAGAGAGTAGTGGGGCCAGGATTCGTCGTGAGCGAGCAACAAGCAAGGGTATGGGCGCGTCGAGTGAAGGTGCAGAGGAGAGCGAAGGACCGAGACCGAAGCCGGGGCCAAGACGAGCTGCGCCGGGTGGAGCGAGCGAGCGAGGGCGGGCGCGGCGTCCAGATGCGAAGAGGCCCTCGCTGGCCTGCCGCCAACACACGTTCAGCCTGCGCTGCGCTGGCCGGTGCGCAACCACCACCGACCCGGCTCCGCTGGCCAACCTCGACGGACGGGACTCGCTCGCGGGAAAATCAAGAATCGGGGCCAGATGGATCGGGCCAGGCCTGGCAGGGACGCGTCTCAATTTCTCGTGCGAAAAGTCTATGTCGCCCTCGATGCCACCGCCGCCGCTTCCACCACCATGACCGCTCTCGAGGCCTGCCCACCGCTCCATCATCCCTCATAGACGACCAGTCGGCCGTCCTGCTTCTTCGCCGCCCCCTCGCCGCCGCCACCACCGCTGCGGATCCACCGCTCTGCCAGCTTGCGACCGGCGTCGGTGGGCTGGCTGAAGGCCACGGTGCCCGCGCGGCCGCCGTACATCTGCTCGAGGCGCGCCAGGTTGAGGCCGTAGACGCTGTGGTCGGCCGCCGCATCCAGCAGCCGGCTGGCCAGCCCGCTGCGGCGGAAGCGGGCGATGACGTGGATCCGGTGCACCCCGATCGGCGGCGTCGCCGAGGCCGAGAGCGGCTCAGAGACAAAGATGGCCTCACCGCCGTCGTGCAGCACCTGGTAGGTGGCCCGCGGCGCCGCGACCCCGGCCCGGTTCTCCTTGTCGTTGTCGTTGTCGTTGTCGTTGTCTTGGTCGACGTCGCCGCCCGCGCCACCGCCGACCACCCGGCGTGCGGTGCCGAGGGCGACGCGGCCCACGAGGGCGGCACCGACGCCCCGCCCCGCCTTGACGGCGACAAACAGCTTGCACGCCTTGAGCGTCGAGTCCGGCAGCGTCGATGCGCCCAGCGCCTCGTCGACCGAGGCCATCAGCTCGGTCAGCTTGCGCGTCGCCACCGCCTCCTTGACCTGGCCCAGCTTCGAGCACAGGATCCGCACCTCGTCGCCCGGCGTCCGCTCCTGTAGCCTCGGCCCTGGGCGCTCGCGCTGCCGCNCGGGACGCAGCACCGACGGCTTGGTC